CTTTAAGCAGCTTTAATTTGTATTGTATATTTTATGCAATAAGCGACTTGAATATACTAAGTGAGAATTGCAGTGACTATCAAAATGGGTTGGCTCATACTCGTATTTTCCGAAGAAGCTTTGTTTTCATCAGATTTTACATTTCACTTTCACAGTATGAAATTTTTGTACCCATACGAACGTACTTTTAAATAATAAGATGCTTAATATACTCGGACCTCGTAATTAGATTTCGGCATTTTACGCGTTTAATTTAAATTCCAAAGCGCTAAATTGCACAAGATGCTCACAATATGCAAAAATATATAAAATATCAGAAGCATAGTGCTCTCTAGGTAAAACAATCCACAGTATATATATATTCCTTTTCAAGTAAGCCAGTATTCTACCAAGATTCTATTTCTTTAATTACATTCTTAAAAATATTATTTTGCATAAAAATACACAGTCTGCTAATACGACACAATAGCATACCGTTACTTTCCTCAGGCACTGTGATTCGCATTCTACATCTGACGTGATACGTTTCATCAATCCAAATGCAAAGACAAACAGAAATGAATTTCTCTTCGGAAAATGACTCGTCAGCGACGTTATGACGAAATACACCTTACGATTCACCTTAAAATTCCAAGCTCGCAATGGAAACGCGTCATAGAGAATCCAAGCGACCGACGATCGCTCGTGTACACGTTGCGTTGTCTCGCGCATACCTGGCACCTGGTACGAGGACGGGAGCGTGCTGGAGCGTGCGGTCGAATGATATTCGTGACACATCCCACGTGTTGGCATTCCCGCATCCTATTCATTCGATCCCGCGGGATTTATTTTAAGATCGGTATGACGGCGGCGTGGGTTTACACGCGGCTGCCGCGACGCAGCCGTGCGGCCGCTTCAGTGAATCCGCGGCTGGCTCGTACGCGAGTCGCACGAGGATCGAGCACGCGATGTCTCAGTCGAGATAACGATCGATCGATCGATCCAACGAACGAACTTGCAACCGCGAACGCAACCAGTCGCGAGCCGTGAGCCGTCCTCGCGTTCACGCAATAGTAATTCCACGCACGATTTCCTATTTCGCGCCTGCCTCCATACAGAGTAGAACTCTATTTAGTATATCTAGACCTCTTGTGGTATAAATAGAATGGCTACAAAAAGTATTGGCAAGCAACATTATTTTTGTAAACGAAGCGTCTTCTTTCATCAGATTTCGTACAGTTCATTTTCGTAGTAGATATCAAATTTGTATAGTAACATGAGAAGTACCACCGAATGATACGAGATTTAATATACTCGAAGCTGATTGATTATCGTTTATTAATTATTATGTAAATGCTGGAATAGATACAACGATGTGCCAGTATTTTTTGTAGCTTCTAACTAGTTCTGAACTGTTGCGGAATATTGTATTATTGGCCTGAAGGAGACGTTTATGGGGAATTAGATCGTAGTTGGTGTGACAGATATTTTGTCATTTACTAGGTCGTTCGGTAGGCTTGTATTACGATGTATTTCCTTCGCTGTATACTGTATACTCTTTATGCACGAATGACCTGAATATCAAATAGGTTAAAATGTAAACAGTTTCCTTTTTTTTTTTTAAGTTAATAGATGTTTATAAATAATGATCGTTTATCGTCAATATAAAGGTTTATCAAGACGAGTCTTATATTCGAAGATGCGAATTCGTACTTGGGTTTTTTCTTTGAAGTTCGTAAATCGAAGGTTCTACTTCCTGCCAGGATCCAACCTTTCAAAATAACGCAAAACAACGCAACATCTCCACGACAAGTTTATGCAGCCAAACCTCTTATTGTAGTGATTCATCCACTCTTTCGCTACCTACAGCTTTCCATTCAGATAAATGAATTTAATCAGCTGAAGATCAATCATTCGTTGTCACGTGTTAACCTACCATCATCCATCATTTGAACCCGTCTAAAATTTAGTTGTAATAAGCGCATAGTGGTTCATGGGAGTATTCGAATACCCTTAGAAATATTTTATGCACAGCATACCTATTATACAAACATTTTCAAATCTCGTTAGCACGAGACACGATTATCGTGATTTGATAAACTTCGAAACGTGTCTGAAAAACTATATATAGAAGCTACAGTACATTTATTGCAAGCATACACTTTGTAAAGATCGTCAAAGTATTTATGCACTATAGGTATTTTAATAAGCCACGATACGTAGAAAAACCACCTTTAACACTAATTGTACGTTTAAAACTACTATTTATGCCGTATACTAATTTTTCATTAAGTGTAGTTTCGCGTGTAGCCTTACAATTTCCATGTACATTTTCCAATTGATTTCAAATTTTACTATTATCATCACGATAATCGTGTCACATTACAGCGTTCGTGAAATTTCAAGAAATGTCGCATAATGCACATAACATGTTCATAAAAAAATTCTCTGATAAGTGTTCGAGTGCTTCGTGAACCACTTTAACTCCTCTACGAACGTTATTATTATTATTATTATTAAAGAAATAATCACGATTGCTTTCGTGATCCACCGTAGCTCATCTACAAACATTAATATTATTATTATTATTATTATTATTATTATTTATTTTTAAGCTACAATAAATGATCCATATTCCCGTAGAACAAGCGACGCGATATTTAAATAATCCCCTTTTACACAAAGCAATAACAAGTATGGAGCTATGTCCTCGTATTAACACGAATAGATGAGCAATTAAGTAGAGTTCTATTGTCCCCAATTTCTTCGTTCTTCCGACTCACTGTCTGTCCTCGTCGTTCCGCTCGATCAGGAGACTCGCTGACGTTTACCTGAACACGGTTGGCCGTTTGTCAAGAATCGACGAGCACCACGGGATAGCAGCTGCGAGTGGTATGGCAGCGAGTTTTTCGTTTCCGACGGGCCACCAGCTATGTCTTCCGAGATATTTTGAGATATGTAGGTATCACAGTGGCTCGCGGTAAGTTCTCGATGGAAACCGGGACACACCTTGGTCTTCGGTGGTGGTTAGCGCTGTTGCAATCGTGAAGCCAGTTTAGCAAAGGTACTTAAGAATAAAACTATCGCCTGCAGCTCTCTCTCTCTCTCTCTCTCTCTCTCTCTCTCTCTCGAGTATTTCTCTCAAGTGGACACTGCGTTGAGGACGACTACCCGAGTCAGTATCAGACCAGTGTCCACTTGCGAGAAATACCGAAGAAAGCAGCTCGCGATAGTTTACTGTGCGTGCAAGTGGACGCGTACCTCGAAGAAGGAAACCAACTTCGTTTCCACGAGCTTCCACTCGTTGGTCCCTTTCCCTAGCGGAGTTCGCTTTTTCGTTTATTGATCTTGCCCCGAGATCGGGCTCCCGTTGTTCCGGCCGCGATATTTGCTTAGCGATTCGGTCGAATCGTTTCGGAAACGAGGCTCCTTTCCTGGAACGCGTGGGTGTATTAAACGAGCATGGAGAAACGAAGCGGAAAGAGGGACCGGGAAAGACGAGATCGAGAGCTTAGCCGATCCCGTTGGAAAAATCTCGGCACCAACCGCGATTTCACGCGTGATTATTTATAACCGGCTGCTTGTAAACACGCGTGGTTTGGCGTCCGCCGCGAACCACCATTTCTTCGCGTCGACAGTTCCGATGGACCAACGGCGAACGTTGCAAGGTTCTTGCCAGACGTCTATTTCAATGTCTCCTCGCGCAACGTCGTGCTGGACTTGCTCCGCTTTAGTTACTCGTGACATCATATCTGAGTTTTTAGGAAATTTCTAGAAGGTGGTTGGCTTTGGATTGTAGTTTCATACGTTCCGGTCTTCGTTCGGTTTGTGCTAGTTTCGTTGAAAGTGGATGTTGTGCCGTAAAGTTGGGAAATAAGTTGCCCTTTTGAATTGAATGGCATCGTGATTCTATATTGGAACATAGCATGTACCGTGGATCGATACTATAGTTATATTACGTTAACGTTATGTAGGACGTAACGCAACGTGTGATCACACGGAGCGCAAACTGTGTCATTTCGTTTATCCAAGTTTTAAGCGACTGACATTTTTTTACACGGTTATTTCTTAAAGCTAATTCTATAAAATATTCACGAGCAACGTTAATATCGTTGTAAAATTTGAAAATAGTTATAATAAAGTCGCTACGGTGCTTGAATATATTTAACGATATCTAAATATTTAGCTTCCAAAAAATACTTTCTCACGAATGTACGTAACAAATTAAAAGGTCTTCGTTGAAACGTACATCTAAGTGTTAAAAACTGTACAATCATCGTTGAAAGTTCGCAGCAGACCACATTCGTTCGCTTTTTCTGTCATGGTTTCCTCTTAGAAGCTACGAAAAACTATTCTTCTATAGCTTCACACAGACGTGTTTCCTGTTTCTCAAGAGGGAACAGGCAGCTCTCCACAGTCTTGACGCTCGTTCTTCGCGTAAGGAGAACTCGCGAGCTGATTCGTGAATAATAAACGCAAATATAACGAAACAGAGGATAGTGAATACGATATGAAGCGGTTTCGGAAACATCCCAAAGTCAGACTCCCTCGATTCTGACAAGCTGCCAAGCATCTGAGGTCGGCTGTTACATAAGCGACGTAACGCGCGTCCGTTCGATTCGCCATCGAACAATAATTCTCGATCGCGTTTCATGCGCGCCGGATATCATGCTGGTTACGTCTGCGAGCAACTGGAGTAACTTGCAGATCGAAACGTGGATCGGTGAACAAGCAAACGTGAACGAATGTAGAACGATGTTTGATCGTGCGATCTTTGATATATCGATCGATTGATTAATCGGAATGGTAGTAAAGTAAACAAGTGATCCAGTGTTTCCTACGTGACGAACATATTTTCGTCTTCAATCAACATTTCATTTTTCGAATTTTTAAAGGATATTTAACGAGAGAAATATATATATGTATTCATATTGAAATAAAGAAATAAATAAATATAAATAAACGTGAAAGTTTGATTTTAAAATAAATTTGAAATAAAAAGAGATAATAATGGATAATAAGAGATAATTTTCAGATAAAAATGGGAATACCGTAAGGTACACAGATGATATCCAATGTTTAATTCTGATACAATTTTTAAGTAAAAACAAGTATATTTTATGGTGAAAAGCAAAGTGAAATTCAAACAGAGGTTTAATCTAAAAACAGTTTTTAATTCGAAGGTAAAACTCAGTTAAGTGACGGTTAAAGTGAGATTGAAATTGAAATTTAATTCATAAATAATTTTCGAATAAAAGGAGAAATATTATATGTACGAAGAACGAAAAATATAGCAAGATGTAGAACGATGTGAATATGTCAGTGAATATTGGTATATATTTCTCGCGGATCTAGAAGCTGTATCGAGTGTGTTTCAAGTATTCGTTTGGAAGAACTAACAACAATTTTGAAGTTTGTGGCTGCAACGGTACTCGATCAAAGTAACTGCATTTCGTTTTGAAAATATTTCTCTATACGTACAAATATTTGCGTGTTATGGCGAAGAAATATTCATACATACATCGATAACTGTCTAAATGAACATTTGAATATTGATATTCAGCTTCGAGTTGTGGAAATATAAATCTTGGCTCTGTTACGCGTATATTCCAATCGAAATCAATGATCGAGTATAATCCGAAAAAGAATTTTCGCCAGTATAAATGTTTGCTAATTTTTGCCCACTATCGAACTTGGTATTTCTGTAAATATTCTTCATCGAAGAAAAAAGAGCATACTGATACTTCCACGAGGTGACGAGCTTTTATTCTCTAATTTTCAAAAATAAGAACAAGTTATATTAAAATTCTGATATAAATCAATGCGTACAGTAACTAAAGATTTCACGTAAACTTGATTTCCAAATAAAAATAGACCATTTGAAATTGGCTATAAAGTAAAAATAGAAAGGAAAGGAAGCCCCCAGGAAGAAAAAGTCACTACTACATTTGACTATAGGAAGAAGCCCTCTACAAAATGAAAATCATTTAAATGTAACCATAAAACAAAAATAAGGTTGGAAAATGAAAAATCTTTTAAATTTAACCGCGAGATAAAACAATTAAGGAAGCTCTTTATAAAGTAAAAATCAAACGACAAAAGTCACGTTAATAAATCGTATAATCAAGAGAGTCGAGCGACAAAAATCGCGTTAATCGATTACACAATCAAAAGAATCGATCGATAGGGATCACGTTAATTCATCGTACAATCGATAGGAACCAAACTAATTGAAATTTCCCGTATATGGTTAAACATATCGAAGCATCATCCTGTAAGTTAAAAGTCAACTGGGTCCAAACATCGAGGTGATCGTTTCGCTGAAATCGTTAAGGGGGACGAAAAGTTTACGGTGGCCCTCGAGCTGCGAAGGTGATCGAACCCGGCGCGGCGCAAGAACGAAAACTGCTTCGGCTTGTGCACGAGAGCGCGAGAACTGGAAACATGAAGAACGCTCACCCGATTATAACAGCCACGTCGTCGTCGAGCCTGGTCAATCCGGATTCTTCGTCTTCCAATGAACCTACGGAACCGATCATCAGATTGAAGCTGGACAAGCCGCTCCACTGGGAGTGGGAGCTGACCACGTCCGCGGACAAGCTTCCTGTCATCCAGCTGTTGGACAAGGATGGCCGTCTCCTGGTCGAGACGACTGGACGAACAGCGCAGCGGGCCAGAGGCTCTTTTCGTGAGGGTCTCAGCTCGCACGAGGAGTTTCCAAGCAGCAGATCCGCAAGCGAGAAACCTTCTACCGTTCCTTCGTCCTTTTCATCTTCCTCCACGTCTTCGACGATTGCGCTTCCTGCTCAAGGGAACAGGAACGTGGACGGATTCAGTACGAAGTTTGGGTCTGTTCAATTTGGCTACAAACCGCGGAAATCAAAAAGCGAGGTCACGGTGAAGGAGAAGGAGAAGAAAAGGAAGAGTAGACATTCTGGTGGTTGCGAGAGCGCGTCGAAAGAGAGCAACGAGAAGGCAAATTCGAAAAGGTATTCCATAGGAGATTATCTAAGACAGCAAATTATAGACGACCTAAGAAATAAGAATACCGTGGGAAAAAGCGCCGAGGAGATCGCCAAGGAGAGGTGTAAGAAGGTGAAGGCTTATCTGAGGAGTCATAGCGAGACTCTGCCAAGATTGGTGCACGTGGAGGAAGAAGAACCTAACGAGGACCCACAATTAAAAATTAATGAGAACGACGATGAGATTCTTAGTCAGAGGATCAAAGACGGTTTGACCCGTCTCAGAGAAGCAATTAGGCAGGAAGATGTGAGAAGCAAAAGAGGACGCAACGATGAGAACAATTCCGTGGACAACGAATCGCGCGAAGCTTCTGACGAGACTTTGAAACCGGAAGACACCAACGTTAGCAGGAAGATTAAGAACGAAGAGCTAGAAAGGGTGAGATCGTTTCTGAGAAGGAAGATTCAACAGAGGATGGAACTGGAACAGTCGAGGAGTCTGAGTCGGAGCAACACGCGTCCAGGCGTTGGAATTCAGAAGAGGTACTCGGATTACAGGCAACCGGAGGATCCGCAAGGTTATCGTACCCGAAAGGTGCGCAGCGAGACGAGCGTCATCAGGTTCGATCCTGAGATTCTTCAGAAGGACAGGCAGAAAGCGGGCAGCAGCAGGCAGATCGAGAGGGAGAGATCGTTGAGGTCCGACAGGTCGCGTTCCAAAGATTCGTTCGGGCAAAAAGCGTACCGCCGTTCCAGGAGCGAGACGATCCTCGAGGCCGCGGAAACAACTGGCACGAATCGTCGACAAAGTTCCCAAACGAGAGAGCCCGCGGAGAAACGGAAGCTCTACCGAAAAACGAAGAGCGACGTGTTGCTGGGCCAGATGGGAGGTAGCCTGGACTCGGAGCAGGAGAATCCTCCGAGGCGTGTCGGGTGCCAGGACACCGTCGAAGAGTCCTGGCGCCAGTACAAGGAGAGAAAGAAGCACGAGAGACAGCATCGCGAATCAGACGCTAGAGAAGTCAAAGAGGAAGACTTTATGAGTAAACCGAGATGGAAAGATCTTCAGACGGATCTGTGTTCTTTTAAGAATTGCAAAGTCTGTCAGAACTTGCAGAATTGTTTGAATCCATTACTGAAACAAGCAAATAGTCCCGAGAATCAAGGAACTTCGGATGGTCGGGTTAACTTGGGCGATTCGTTCACTGTGATTTCTAACGACGCTTCTAACGGCTCTGTCAACGATAGGCCAAGTACCAGTTTACAGGAAAATTATCTGGTTGTTGATAAGAAGCCCGACACGTCTAGGAATCATATATTAGCGAAGGTTCAAGCGAAGAATCATGAAACTAATTCCTTTAACGTGAATTCTCCGGATTGTGGTTACAGCACAATTCCCAAGAAGGCCTTCAATGACTATAAGGAGCTATACACCCGGTCGAATGTGAAGAAAAGCGACACATTCAAGATCGTGGATGGTAGCGAGGAATTGCCATCTTTGGGGCAATGCGTGGAGCGAAGTGATTCGAAAGGAAATCTCGACGAACAATCTGCTGATAATACCGACTGTTCGAATAGTGGAGGCGTGTTAACGAACAAATCGAACGAGGACATTGCTAGAGATTACTTTAAGAGAGTGTACGAGCTGCTGAAAAAGAGGCAGGAGGAGGCGAAGAAGATAGCGGAGAAACAGGAAGCGGCGGGTTGCGACGATTCTTCGTCATCTAATTACAAGGAGAAAGTGCAAAAGAGGAGACTGCGACGGAAGAAAAAGGAACGGAGCACGCAAGGTAAGAAATGAACTACTTTGATGTTTTGTCGGTCTTTTTGAAATGCAGAAGCACGCTGTGAAGTGTGAAAGATGCTTTGTCGTGACGGAACTCAATGTGGTGCAAGTAATGAATAGGCCTCTAATTTTGTTTTGTCAGAGAGTTGCTTTCATTTAAAATTTGCAGAGGAGACGATATTAATGAGGGCGACTAAAATGCTTCTTAAATATCGCAATTTATTTAATCCATAGTTAATTCCATATATTAATATCGAGTATTTTGGATAAAAATATTTTATGTACACATACGTGAATGCTTTTCTCTTTGAATTAAAACTATTTTAGATTTAAAAAATTATTTCAATTCTTAGTTATCTTATCTCTATTTGATCATAGTGAAAAGTGTAGTCATTATTTCTTGGATATATAAAATTATGCAAATATTTCATTAAGTGTTAGAAATTTTAGTTTAAGAAAGTTAGAGTAAAATTATTCGACGTATGATATAATTCTAATATGATTAAAAAAGACGGTATTAATTGTTGCACTTATACATGGATACTTTTCTCGTTAAACTACTGTTCTTCCATTTAGTGAAACAGTTACAAAGCATAAAATTTTAAAAATGACATCTAAAATAAATTTTCTACCTACTCGAAATAAATTATGTGAATTTAACGCATCTCGGTAAGGAAAATAACTACGATAAACTCATCTACTAAAGATAAATGATAAATAAGTAATCGTCATCATCCTCTAACGATGTATTATCGCTATTATATTAAAAAAAAAAAAACAACACGCTGACAAAAGCAAAGACAACCAACTTTTAATCTTCCGGAACATTTTCCAAGATAGATAGTTCCACTAACGTACTCTGTTAATTGCACATTTAATTAAAAGCGACAAGTTTCCTTCGAAGTGACAGCACTATTAAAACGCTTTGCACCGAACCTTACTTCGTAATTATACAAAGAGATAGAACTACGTAAAGCGAAAGACGAAGGGAAATGACTGCTACGAGAAACGAACTCTTTTAAGTGCCACAGAATTTCGACGATTTCGTGTCGCAGTGTCAAAGTGTCCGTAATTGTCTTGAAGTATGTGACCATGGTTACGTTACGTCTTTTCGCTAATGCGAAAACTTGCCCCTTAAAAGCTCAGCTTCCTATTCACCGCTATCCCGCCGTGTTTACGCGACGTTGGATTTCCTTCACGTTCTAGAAATATTCATCTTCGGCGTTATGACGAAACTTTCGCGTTATACGTCGCAACTTGCCGTTTTGTTAGTATTACACCGCGAACAATGTCGTTGCTCGATGCTACGAGGCTAATAATGGACGCAGGCGAGTTTAAAGGAAAGAAAGAAGCACAAGTGAAATGAACGTTGGGTTAATCGATGGGTCCCTCGTGTGTTTTTGCGTGGCAGGCGCTGTAAATCCTCAGGAAATCGCATGGGATAAAATAAAATCATTTCCATGCAAACGATTTGAGATGGTAGTGTAGGAGCCTTTTTGCGAATGTTGGTTTGCTTCGTTAAATGTAGAAGACCGGTTTAATCCTTTGGAAACGGTTTGTTAAACAGTAAATACGATACTGTTCTTAGTTAAAATGTTGTATTTGGCATTTGTTCATTTTTCAGGGTACGTAGTTCTCCGTGCTTTTCTCTTTTAATCAAAGTTGTATTAAACATGATATTAAACGATAATTAAATGTTTTTAAATTGCACGAAGGAAAATGACGACACAAAAATGGTAAAACTTCAGACTTCTCGTATATTTCGAAATGAGATATTTTAGTTAAAAAGAGTAGAATATAATGAGCTATAATATAAATATTATTTTATGATAGAGAAATGTTATCCATTTCTTTCTCTAATTTCTGTTCTTGTACTTTTTATATATTACTTCTTATACCTATATTATTTCCTCTATTACTGTTGGTAAAAATGACAAGAATCGTTATAAAATATTCAGTAATCTTTGTAATAGTTAGTTAGAGAAGTATTATTTATTATCAACGTAAGTACTTATTATCAAAACAATAAAAATGATATTAATTTTAGAATTATAGATTAGATAAGGAATTTCGTTTAGTACTTCGAGATAGCTATTTTAGAAATTTGATTTGGATTAGAAATTTGGAAGAAACCAAGGCTAGCTTCATAGTTAGTATTTTACTATCTTTATCATTCTACTAGAGTCGTTATTATCAAGCATTTATTGTAATTTTTAATTCTTATGTTTTCTAGGAGTGGAGAACTATGATCATTAAATTATTAAATTTTCCTGTAAGTGGAAAGTTATAATCGATTGATTTCCTTTCCAAAGAAAAATCTAACCAGAAAATTATATACTTATAGGTATAAATAATCGATGAAGGAAGTGAGTTCTTTTTCAAGTTTTTATTTTACGACTATCTTTATGAGTATTTGTTTAAATTTTAAAATGCTACAAGTTTCGAATATTTAGGGAAATGGGAAGGACAAGTTTAGAAACATATGTATATTATTGTACATGATAAATATGAAGGATTTCAAAAAAAAAATCTGCATTTTAAATTTTCCTTCCAATGACTTATTTTACTATAATTCGCAAGCTTTACCAAAAGACCAACTTAAGGAATTTTCATATAAAATCTGTTACGTTTACGCTACAGTGGATACTTTCGTACCTTCTTTACATTGAAACGTCAATTGTAGGAGATGTCAGCTTTTTCATTTAGATCGATCACAATGCCATAGATAATTTGCACACTGTTTTACGTGTGAAGAATTCTCGTGAAATTATTCTTTTATTATTAATTATTTATAAGCAGTACTTTATTCTAAATACCTTACATATTTTATGCACATTCTCAGCATTCCAACACATCTAAATTTCATATATGTAAGTATACAAACTTCCACGGTCTATTCGTAAAAGCATAGAACAAAAATTTGAAAATTTCGATCAATACATAACATATACACATAAAATTTCATGAAGTTTCACATATACACATAAAAGTGTACAAATATACATATGAAAATGATTCTTGGTTTTCGTACATTCTTTTCGTACAGATAAACAGAGAGAGAGAGAGAGAGAGAGAGAGGAAATTCGATCATACTGATCAAATTTTAAAGAAAAAGAGGAAAACTTGAAGAAAGTACCAGAAAACGGAATAGGGGCGGAAGTATTAAGTTTCAGTGGTGCAACTTAATTTAATAAAGTATTAACTTGTAGAAGAATCTTAGTTTCTTCGATATAATTAGAATAGTTATACGATAAGAGTTCCTCCTTTATAATATAGAGTAGAATTTGTGGAATCTGTAGGATCAGTTTTTACTAGAAGAGAAATATTCTCGTAATCCCGATACGAAAGAAATCCACTAAAAAGAAAAAGATTCTGGCGATTCTAGATTCCATGTTATTTGAATTTGAAACGTATCTGCTTGATGAGATTGCCTCCTTGAGGTAAAAGTCACTGTTTGAATTTATAAAGAATGTTGGACTTTGCAAGAAGTTTCTAATAGATATTCTGAAAATGATGGGTATGTAAACGAAGACCATTCTATCGAGATTATAAAATTATAGTCTGTTTGAATCTTTCTTCCGAAATGTTCGTCCGAAACTATTAGTTATTAGTTCAATTATTAATTTATAAAAGTAATAACCGATCAGGAACACATGTTATAAGCCGTTATTAATATTTTATGTCATTTTATTTCCTTTCGTTTTTTCAATTTTAATTTGCACGAAAAGATGAACCGGCGATTTAAAGTGACGCTAAAGTTTAACGTCAAATCAATAAATATATTTCCCAACTAATAAGGTAATATATTTTTCCAAATATCAATTTCTTAGAATTACATACTTTTTATTGTAACCGTAATTCCATTTCTATAGTTCGTTTTATCATCTTTTTAAATAATTTTTTTATTGTAATATGCTTTTATTGGAGGCATCTCATTTGATTGTTTCTATGTTTTCATAGAAAATTTTAGATTCCATACAAGTATCGTAACTTTTATGACAGTTATAAAAGAAATGGGTGTAATTTCTGCCAATTCATATAATTTATGATCGATATTCCAATAACAATGCCCTCCATCCGTTCAAATATTGATTTCCAAAGTAAGAACTAGTTTAACTAGTGCAATTGCTCTCCTTTAAACGATACATTAATAACGCAATTAATTATGATAATGAATCCAAATCAATCACAACTTTAACATAAATTAAACATAAATTTATAGGACGAATATTTATGAGACGCATAGGAGGCAGAAAAATACTAATCTTTGAAAGGCCAGACAATAATTTTTACACTGTACAGGTACGTAGATGTTATGAATGTTTGTCCATGAAATTCTTCTCGATAGATAATAAAAGTTGAAATAATAACGGAGTATATGTCATTGAAAACTTGGTCACGATCACGTAAGTTGTTAGATATAGCGGACATTCAATTCTCATTGGAAATTGGATTACGCGCTCTTTGAAGCTTTTAGTGATTTCTCGAGCCGGGTATTTCAACCAAATGTCCAGCGAAATAAAGGTCGGATTAAAGTGGCTTTTAAACGCTTGCTGACATTTCAGCTATCGTTCGATAACGTCGCAAACGAATTTGCAACCTGGAAATAAACCGAATAAATCGTCGAACTAATCGATAATACTTTGGCTAATTCGATTAACGTGGAATGCTGCGCGTATCAAATTGTGTACACATATCGGTAGAGGAAGCTGGTTCGTCGATAAAGGAATAACTGTAATTAACAAGGTAAAGATCAAACCGATATTTCTATATTCAATTTCAAGATATTTGAAATATATTTATGTTACGATATACAGAGAGAATATTCTGTTTTCTGATTATCTTACTTTTAGTTAAATATCGATTGGTATCGGTTGCATCGAAGTATTTAAAAAATAATTAAAAAGATTATAGAGAAGAAAATAGTATAGAAAATATAATATCGTAATTGAAAAGAGGAAGAATATCATAATATCATTATCATTATTGATACATCATCGCTTACATATAATACTTTTTTTTTGACAAGGAAAAAAATGGTGAAACTTATGAAACGATGCAAGAAGTATCCCGCTGATCGTCTTTTCTACGTTGTTCAAAATACCTACTTTAGCGAGATTAGCGAGAAATATAAGAAAATTATGTAATACTCAATTTCCGGAATTTGAAAGTCAAGGAATCGAAAATAATTACGTACTGAGGAAACGGTCTGAGAAAAGTTGGTTGCGGGAAAACAGCGGGATAATTTTGGGCAGACGTTGTCATGGCCGTCTCATCTGACCGTCGCAGACAGCCGTTAGTCCTTGGTGACGGGCTTTCAGCCAAACAGATTAGTACCTCGCCTTCTACCAGGAAGTCTCGTGAAAATCAGCGGAAAGCTCCGCAACGAATCTCGTTGATACAATCTCCCTTTCAGCAGTTGTCTTTCGACTTTGGTCTTGTTTCTTGTCCCTCTGCGGGAAATGATCGTCGACTTCTTCTCAGAACCTTTCAGAGGACGAGATAATTGGCACAGTCTCCTTTCTCGTCAAACTTCCCTGTGAAACTGGGCTACGAACGATTGAAAAGGACAATGAGATTTGTTTTGGTTTCTGGTCCTTACTTTTGTCTCTTAATCGTTGAAAGATGATGCAGGCTTTATTGAGGTCTCATTTTAAGGGGATTCGAAACTTTCTAACGTAACAGAATTAGCAGAATAGGTTTTGTATATGTATCGTAGAGCCTGCAAAATTAAGTGTTTTTGTTCCAGCAATTAAGAAACGTTGCGAATGTCATTATGTGACTGTGAAATGTGTATGCATTTATGAAAAATTTACAGTGGCCACGAGAAGTATATTCAATTGTTTTTTTTATCAGGCTCTGCGTTTCATTTCCACAGTATCGGATTTTTGTAGGCAGATAAAAGTGTTGCTAAATGATACACAATAAAATTGGATCTAATTAATTAGTAACAAAATCAGTGCTGCAATAATAACTAAAATGGCTTGCGAATGCTTTTTACAGACACTGTATAGGTGCGAAAATTGAAAGAATAAAATTGAATATACAAAATGTATAAAATAGACAAAATAGCGTACTCGTAATATCTACGTCGTAAAAGGAAAAGAAAATTTGATCATCCTTCGAAATGTGAAATAATTAGAAATTCGTTTTTAGTCTGAATAAAGAAAATTAAGTATTAAGGTATGATTAACTTGATTGATGGCTTATACAGCAATTGCATTTTTTATTCAAAGTGTGTGACAAGTGATTTGAAAAATAAATAAATACGTAAAAATAATGACTTTAGAATAAAGTACTATTTCCAGAATAGAACTGAGAAGAATAATAGAAACTGTAGATTGAGATTTAAAGCTTCGCGGCTATGTGATTTTTAAAAATAGAACAGGATCCTAATTTAGTGTCGTGACATAAAACTGAATGGGGTAGAAAATTAAGTTAAAAAAATACGGAAGCGAGATACATCTACTGGCAACGAATTTTTTTTAAGGATTTTCGAGTCTTTTCGGTAAGATTTATTCCTGTTTCCCTTTTCGATTTCATGTTTCTTTTCTAATTTGTTATTTCAATAAATTTTCAAGGAAATTTTAAATTACAGTTATGTACAGTCTCCTTTTTAAAACAATGAATTGTTAAAACCTACTGTTTGTAATAAACTAGAAAGGTAATGTTACAAAAGAATTATTTTTGACCTAAATAAGGTTCTCTAAGGCTCTTTAAGCTGTCTAATTATTTATAAACCTTTACAAAGCTAAATAAATATCATAGATATTACAAATAAAAACATTCTCATATATTCAAATTTAAATGAATGAGTCAGAATTATTTCTATTTTTAAATCAATCAAATTTTAAATAATCTGCAATTCTGTAGTCCAATATTATTTTCAAGTAATGTTGTCGCTACCACATAGTTTAAATGCCGATCCAATATAACGTTACAAAAATGAGAGCAGAAACAATTATTGAAACGTTCCATTCATTTTAATTAATTATTTCTATCCAATAAATTAAACACGATCTATTTAACCTACGCTCTCTGAGGTTAAATACTTTATAATAACGGAAGGGTACAATAATACAATACAAAGATATAGATTCCTTCATAATTAATTAACCGCAGCATAATTATCACTTATTAATTTGTGATCTAGAATACAAATTTATTAATAATTTATTGATATATTGAATCTCGTTTCGTCTTGAATGAAATGCTTATGAAACGTAATAGAATGAAATAATTAACAGAATAATCAACCATAGCTGCTTCAACTTGTGATTTTTAATAAAAGATGAATCGTAACCGATCGATCAAAATATCAAGACTCTTTTCTGTTTAGATTAAACATGTTCTTAGACTAAGCACGAAAAACAGGAAAATCTGTTTAGATTAAGGAATAATCTAAACGGATTAAGGAATAGAAGAAACACATAGTCATTTATTAATGAAATGTCGCGGCTATGGCACGGCTAGACATCGCGACCCTCCGCTAAATATTCAAGAGAGGAGCCGGAATACGGTAGATCCTCAGAGGCAAAATGAAACTCTTTTGATCGCGGCATATCCGCCGTCAAAGTGTCTGAGAGACGGCGAAAATCGTATTTTACTAGCGGCTATGTCGCTACTAAAGGAAGGATTACATTGGATTGGCAATGGTTCGCATGTGCGTTAAGACGAGAATGGAACTTTTGAGCTTGTAAGTACTTCGCGTTGCTAGCTAATGCTGGATATGTGTAAGCTGTGGAAAGCTTATTACATAATTTACGGTATTCCCAATATGATAACAAAGCTGCCGTTTTAATAACACAATCATGCGTTTATGTACTTTAATCCGTTGTGTGTTGCATTATTAGACAGCAGATATTTATTCAGCTATGGGAAATACAACGCAAAAATTTGCAGAATGTACATAATACAGAAAACTGTCAAGTTGGAGCATAAGAGACGTTGTTTCTTTTCCAGCTTTTTGTAGCTTTTCCAAGTCATCATACATAGACATATTTAACCAAAGTAATAACTTCTATTTTTTGTCGAATCAATGCACGTTCGTAATGACTAAATATGTACATGGTTTTATTCTTTCAAATTGAGGAAAATTATCAATCCTGCGATCAAACAAACCTTGAAATGGGTCTGTGAGTGTCTCTGTTTACGGTTCTGTAACCGTGTACATTAAAAAGGTTGTTTATAATAAATAGAACAGCGCGGATCTCTTTGACCTTCTTCAAATGCCTTAGGCACATGGGTA